GGAACTGACTGGAACTTAACTATGCTAAAGATGATTAAAATAAAGATTTTTGCCACCTTCTTCAGTCTGAAATTGGTCAAACATGCAATTAATGATGCATTTTTAATTCCTAGTGATTGGAATGTGAAAGTTGGAAACAAGAAGGAAGGATCAGTATTTGGAAATATGGTCTTGGTGATAGAAACTACTTGGAGATTGCATGATAAAATTGTGTAAGACTCATTTATTGCAAATATCTTATTCAATTACATAAATGGCAACTATACACATGGATCTTGCCAGATTGATTACCCAGGAATCAAATCTTTTACATCAGTTTGAAGGTGATGGAGAAGCTTAGTATTATCAGTCAGAACAAGGCCAGGGACATCAAAAGAAACTCAAAATCATAAAAAGACTAGGTTTGATAATCCTGGGACCCTTAGTGTCAGAGGAGTGCTTACTAGGAGAAGAAGCTGAACAAACATGGTGAAAAAGGGGACAGATAAACTGTCTGCTGGCCAGATGTAGGTTTGTCATTTTGAACTCTTGTGAGCTACATTAGAAGCCGACTGTGGCTTGGAGGCACAGATGCACACTGGTGGCTCATGGCAAGAAAGTTGTGATTCTTTCTTGTTCTCCACATTCCTTAGTGACCGGTTAAGTGGTCAGCCCACACCCTTTTCCACCTTTAGCAGATCTTGCTCTTGGGAGGTCAGCGATGCCTAGTTGTGAGCTGTGTAGTTGCAAACCACATCATTGTGAATTGGGTGCACAATTTCTAGTGCCTGGATTCAAGTGAGCCCTGTTCCAAAACTCCAGAGTTGGTTCTAACCAGCCCTGGACTAGCTGTAAATCTCATGATTGATCACTGTGGTCCTGACTGCATTCTGGGCTTGAAAGATCTTGATCCCAGCTGCTTTGAACCTACACAAACTACATCTGAATTGAGTGCTCTGAACATTGACAGCAGCTAGGCCTATAGGAACTCCACTGAGGGCTAGGAGGGCCACCATCCCTCTCCCTCCACAACATACCACAGGAGCAACTGAGGTTTTTCCTCTCTGATACAGGAACAGCCTCTGGTTTTTAACGTTCGTTGTTTTTGTTTGTTTACGCCTTCTCTTTCTCTTCTCTTGTATTTTATCCTTCTGTCTCTGCTTTTGTTTGTT